CAAGCTACTAATTGCTGTAATGCTCTGGTTTCCTCAAACGAGGATTTGTTGTTATTATAGCAAAATCGATTTTGCAGATTAGGTTAATTTTTTAGGGCAATTTTTGGAGTTTCTGTGTTGTATAGTTCTTAAAAAAAAATGGAGAATTCGCGTCGACCCTTTGATAGATCCAGAGATCCAGGTCCGATGAAGAAACCCAGGCTTAACGAGGAATCAATCCGGCCTGTGAATTCGAATACGCGGCAGTTTTCGTCGCAGAGAACGCTCGGTACGGCGGCGGTAGCGATACCACCACCATCGGCTACGGCGAGATTTCGAGTTGGTGGCAGAGAAACGGAGAGTGATCCGAGCCGTGAGGCTTACCAGCCACAACCTGTTCATCCACATTACGAGCTTGTGAATCAGTATAAGTCTGCACTTTCCGAGCTCACTTTCAACTCCAAGCCAATAATAACGAACCTTACGATAATTGCTGGTGAGAATGTCCATGCTGCTAAGGCCGTAGTAGCCACCATTTGCAACAACATCCTCGAGGTGAACACCCATCGTTATAGTTTGTTAACTCAAATTTCTTTGGATAATTTGTACATTATAAGGGAAATAAGGTAAAGGTGGTGGTTTGAGATTGTGATCTGTATATGAGGTTCAATGAGAAATTCTGAGTTTTTGAAGCAACCATAGTGTCTTTTTCTGGGATCAATGTGTCTTTTATACTTTTTCATCAAGTCGCAGATCATTCTTGTGAAACAAAGTTCATAGTCTTTATCATCTTTTGGATCCCATTTTGTAAAATTGTCACTTACACAAGCATCTACGTCCCGACTATCTCGAGTTAGCTGTTGCCCATGCAACCGTTTTGTCTATGTTTATTTTCTTTTTTTGACATCAATCTATGTTCATTTATTAAGAATGCATATTTCAGCTCCTCATGTCATTGTACTGAGTTTGGCTTTATAGGAGTTGTGCAAATGTATCTCACTTTATCATTTGGCAAGAACTCTCATAAGCTTTGTTTTTTAAAAGTTAGACTTTCTGTTAGTGGCTTCTGCTTACCGAATGCCCTCCAGAAAGCCAAAACAACTTTGATTCATCTTTGGATAGCAGAGAAACATGGAGCTTGTTCAATCGAGTTGATGGGAAGACAAGGCTTGCTATTTCACTGTTTCTCAATTCAGCTTAGAAATCGACACTTTTGTATATTGATATGCTGCCATTTTGGGCATTTAGATTTCATAAATGTTGTTTAATGGCTTTCTGTGTCTTTAGATTCCTAATTGTCCGGATATATGTTAGTAGTAGCTTGAATGTTTGTACTTCAGTTCTTTTTCTTTGGAGAATCTGATTTGAAGAATACTATGCAGGTACCAAGTGATCAGAAACTGCCAACATTATACCTGTTGGATAGCATTGTGAAGAACATCGGAAGGGATTACATTAAGTACTTTGCTGCCAGGCTGCCTGAGGTTTGGTTTGTTGAAAGTCATGGTTATATAATTCCCTTTCTTAGCAACTTCATCTCTCTAATGGCCGTCTTTTTACTTCTATGCAGGTATTTGTTAAGGCCTACAGACAAGTTGACCCTCCTATGCATTCTAACATGCGGCATCTCTTTGGCACCTGGAAAGGAGTCTTTCATCCGCAAACACTTCAGCTTATTGAGAAAGAACTTGGCTTTAATGCGAGAACTGATGGTTCAGCAGCTGTTGTTACCAAAGGTAGAGCTGAACCGCAATCTCAGCGCCCACCTCATAGCATCCATGTGAATCCTAAGTATCTGGAAAGGCAACGCCTTCAACAGTCAGGACGGGTAAGCAAAGTAAACTTGTGAACACTGAAAGTTATTAGTGTCTACACATCCTAACCTTTAGAAACATTAGGGATACTCTCTGACTCTCTGTTATTAGTGTCTTGAGTATTTCTTGCTTCTTTTGCAGCCAAAAGGAATGGTTACTGATGCCCCTGAGATCGCACCTGATTTGACTAGGGATTCAGATGGACTGGAGAGAGTTTCAAGCATAGCATCTGGAGGCTCGTGGGTGGGTCCAGCTAAAGTAAATGTAAGATGATTTTTCCTTGTTATGGTTACATTTATTTACCGTAAGTGCTATCTACTGATTGTGTTGAATACAGACCATTCGGCGACCTCAGAGAGATTCACTTAGTGAACCCCTCTATGAAAAAGATATCACGTCAATAGCAGGGGAATATGATTATGCTTCCGATCTACCGCATAATTCTAGATCGGTGATTAAGAAAATTGGTTCAAGGGTTACTGATGACGGATGTGAGAAACAGTGGTATGAAGCTATGAGCAGGGGTCCTGATCTAATTTCTGACCCGAGAGATGGGTTACAAACCAAAGGCAGAATCTCCAACAATTATGCTACTGCGAGACTAGAAAATTCAGAATCAAGTGGCCCCAGTAGAAATATAGGTGTGCATTATGATAGTTGGAAAAACTCTGAGGAAGAAGAGTTTATGTGGGATATGCACTCAAGGTTATCTGAAACTGATGTAGCCACTATCAACCCAACGAATGAGCTTCAGGCAGCAGATGATACAGAGAGATTGGTTAGCTATGATTTTCTAATTTTATGATTATGTATCCCATTATAATTCTTCTACTTCTAACCTTCTTCCATCTTTTAGGAATCTGAAAATCACCTCCTAAAAAGACCAAGGTTTCCACTTGTTGATCCAAGGTTCGCTCCGGCAAATACAACAGAGTTATATTCCAGCGAGCAGAAAGATCCAAGTGTTTATGGCCGCTGGGCGTCTTCTCCTAAGTCTTTGCATGATTCCGAAGTATTTTCTTCCGTTGTTGCAACCTCGACTCCAGCTAGAAAGGGAATTCAGCCTCAAGCTAGGGTTGCTGGCTCTGGAATTTTGCCAAACTCAGGATCTGGTTCAGATAGACAGTCACCTCTACATGATTCAACTTCTAAACAGAATATGACCAAGCAAGATTTTAGAAGAGCTCACTCTCTCCCTCAACGCGATCCTAGGGCTTCCCGGTTTCCAGCAGCGAAATCTCAAAGTAGTCAGTTTAAAAACACAAATACGCTTGTACCACCTGATGCATCTGAAGCGGAAAACTTTGACTACAAGTCGACAGATGAAAATGCTCCAGGCCTTACTATTGCCTCAGAAGCTACGGGACAACCCAACATGAGTGATTTGTTGGAAGCTGTCATGAAGAGTGGAATCCTTTCTAATAAATCAACTTGTGGTGCGATTAAAGAGGAGAATTCTCAGGAGGTTAAGTCAAGGGCAAAACCCCTGTCAGCAGCCTCTAAGCCTAAGACTTTGCCAGTTTCATTGGCTAGTGACAATTTATTTGCTCGTTTGAAAGTTGAGCAATCCTCCGCACCACTTGGTTCATGTGCAGTGTCTCTTCCTGGCGTCACATCAGCAGAGGCATCAAAAGATAATAGTAAGGCCTCGGATCCTCTTTCGTCCCTCTTGAGCTCCTTAGTTTCGAAGGGCTTGATATCTGCTTCAAAGACAGAGCTGCCATCTCCCGTACAAAGTGCAGCTCCTTCCACAACACAGGACCATAGTCCTGATCATTCTACCAGTAGCTCTGTGTCTGCATCTGTCGTCCCATCAGATGCATTGGTTTTGGGGAAGCAGGGTACATCCACTTCACCTATGGTAAAATTGTTAGCTGCACCACTTGGAACAACAAAGTCGGAACCCGAAAACCTCATAGGATTGAAGTTTAGGGCCGACAAAATCCGTGAACTTCACCCCTCAGTGATTAGTAGTCTCTTCGATGACCTTCCACATCTCTGCACCTCCTGTGGCGTTCGCCTTAAACAAAAGGAAGAACTTGACAGGCACATGGAGCTGCACAATAAGAAGAAGCTTGAGTTAAGCGGTACAAACAGTAAATGTAGGGATTGGTTTCCAAAGGCTGATGACTGGATAGCAGCAAAAGCTGTAGACCTAGAACCTGAACCTGAGGAAGTTCTCAGTGAACCTGAGAGTGCTATCGAGGATGGCCCAGCCGTAGCTGTTGATGAGAACCAATGCGCATGTATATTATGTGGAGAGATATTTGAGGACTATTTCAGTCAAGAAACAGCTCAATGGATGTTTAAGGGAGCTTCTTACCTGACTATTCATCCAGCCAACAGTGAAGCCAATGGCCCGATTGTCCATGCAGGTTGTTTGACTACGAGTTCAGTGCAGAGCTTGGAAGTTGGAAATGCAATCAAGCAGGTAACTTGTTGCATCCTTTGGTCATCGAGCTCTCTGATCTCAAACAGCATTCATTAATCTTCCATGAATCCATCTTAACGTGTTTCTTTCTTGTTTGGCTCCATTCTTCTAGGAAATTATTGAGTAGCCTCCATATGAATGCCAAGAAAACCTATGCTTGAGGAAACCGTGGGCATCACAGAGGAAACAGGTTTGTGATTCGTTTGAGTGCTCATGATGCTAGTTTTGTAGAAAAGTGTCATGCTTTGAGTTGAGGAAGAAAAAGATGTGCAGTAATTTTTTTCTTAAGTATGCTTTGTCTCTCTCTCCTTTTTCATTCTATACAAATACAAAAGAGCAAAGAGTGTTTAAGGCCTTCCCAATATTGCACATTCCATATTCTATATTCCTTCCTTTCATGTGTCACAAAAGAATATCCGGGACACTCACTCGGGTTTCTTACGAAACACAGATTTGTGTCAGTTCACGTATCCTGAACATCCAAAGCAACACCAAGGCCATGTATGTACCCTTAGCAATTACTATTTCTGTTGAAAGATTGTTTATGTCATATCTCAGTTTGAGTGTAGTTGTGGTTATCACGTGATTCCTCATGGAATTGAAGTTGCCTTTTTTATCATAAACCCTTTACTTGCTTGCAGATTGGGATAATAAGAGCAAATTAATCATTTCTTGGAGAGAGAAAGAGAGAAATGCAAAAAAGGGTGTGAGAGTTAATTAGAGAGTTGTAGGTGGGGAGAGAGCTACAAACAAAAAAAGAGGAAACCTCTCTTTCGCTGTTCCTTACTTTTGGGAAAGAAAATACCCAATTTTCACGTGAATAAGAGCTTATCAAAATTAATGTTTTATAAGGTACTTGTGGAATCGGATAGACTTCTCTTTTTTTCTCTCTTCTTTATCGTCAAGGATAAGCTAAGGGTTGAGTGTACGTAAATTAAATGCAACTAGTCTCTTAGCTTTCAAAAGCAAATCTTTGAGAAACTCAATGTGGTTAGTGGGTTACTAACGGAAATGGTCAATATTTGGAATAAAAAGGACTTAAATGAGAAAATGGTTACATAGATATACGTATAGGAGGAGATTGGGTAACATTAGTTTTCTCAAAAAAAATATCCATGTTCCAAAACGTAGGAGTGAAACTTTTCCGCAAACGAATGAGAGTCTTCCAAAATTCAAAAGCCACAGTAACTTGGTTTTTTGAATAACTATAAAGTGTGGAAAAGGAGATTTAAATATTATTGTTGATGTAGTCATGTTGGTAGGATGATTAATTGACTAGTAAGCTTTAAATCTTTAATCCGATTGTGTTTTTGTTTTTAATAGACTCGATTCGTTTTCATGACGTTTTTGATTACTCATGATGACATTTCTCAAATATTATCAAGACTGAAAAAATGCAAGTCCAAGATGTGACTTGTTCCTTGTTCCTTGTTCATTTATCATGTCTCGTTTCCTCTCTTCGAGAGAAAACATACGCCTAAATCGACTCTTTTTTAGTTTTTTTTTTCTTTTCTAATCACTTATTTTTGATAATCTCTTTTTATAACTAGCCAATCTAGTTTCTCTTTATGTTTAAATTTTACAATCTAAGAGTTTTACGTGAATATTGAAAATGTCTTCATAAATTCGATATAAGTTGTGAATTTTTGTATGAAATAAGGTCTTTCCCTCCCTCGTTCTATTTTGTACGATTGCATAATTTTCCATACTTGCGAAGACGTCGTTTGCATACTATTTTGTATTTTTTCTTAGATTTGGGAATATAGAATACCAAACACACACATCTTCTTACAACCTATGCTGTACAAATCAGGTCAAACTATTATTTAATTTGTTTTTCTTGCAACAAACTATATTTTAATTTCAACCATAACTTAACTTGTTTTTTTGTGAACTAAATAAGATAAGGGTCAATTTGGTTAATAACCAAAAAAAAATTAAAACATAAAAATTAATTAAAAATCCTAAAATTAGTGATTATAATTAGTGCCACATAAGAGGGTTTGCATAG